GAAAGGTGAAGATCACCATGACTCTTACATAATATATAAGACAGAAATAAAAGATAGGCCCTTCGCAAAGGGAAGTAGAGGTTGTCATGTACTTTTATGGTTGGATGCACGAAATCTTATGCAGTCTGTCACTTTTATTACTTCTATATCACAAGATCGTATAAAGCTTATTTTCTCCACACTAAGAAGTCATACATATTTAGAGAGCAATTTTTATTGCTACGACATGACAACTTGCTTGAAGGATCTTACTCAGTCCATAGGTAGATATGCTGGACTCTCATGGCAAAACTGTTTTAAGGGTATTTTGGAAGCACAAGTAATTTCTACTTAGTGCAAGGAATTTGGCTAGCATGAGAGAGAAAGGCAAGCTCAACATGTTCGATGATCCATGACAATATACTTTATCCCATTACGTTGTCTTCCTTGTCCAATGTCAACTCTTTTAGAATGTCATATTTTAATGAGTGCTCACAATCATAAAAGATGTCCAAGATAGTATATTTGTATGTGATAACCTCTCTTTCTTTATTTCTTTTGTTTCTTAGTGTATAGGGGATGATGTATCTCTTTTTTTTGTTTCTTGGAAGTCGAAAGACACGGTGGGAAAATTGGGATTTTTTTGAGGAATGAAAATAGGGAATATAACAGAGCAAAGATGGGAAATAGGTAAGATTAGTCCAAAGGCAGGTTTTTTGTGTGTGTATTCACAGAATCATCTATTTGATTGGTGGAGGAGATGGGAAAATGATGTGAAGAAATGTGTCTGGAGGGGAAAACGAGACGGAATGGACGAGACACAAAAAGGAATGGATGAACATGGAGAAGTACAGAATAGCTAACGGGGCCCTGAGCTCTAATGATAGCAATAGTTGAAAATGTTAGAATATATTGTATGTATATACGGTTGTGTATATAAAACTGTATATACTTGTGATGTTGCGTGTGTGATCAACTTGTATTCCGGTAGTTAGGTTTAAGCTTCGATCCTTATCTCGTAGGATAGCTAACTTAAGGATCAAGCCTAACCAACTACCGAATCCTGAAAACCCTAGCCTATGGCTATATATAACACGCAACGCGTCCCTGCTAGGCATACGCTTCAAGCCATCTTTCATGGTATTCAGAGCCTATCTCCTCTAAAGCACATCTCTCGTAGCCATGGCCTCCTCAAGCTCCGTTGTCGCCGCGCCTGCCCTCATCCCCATAGCCGACCGACTCCATCGCTCCAATTTCCTGGTATGGCGCGCGCAAGCCATGGCAGCCATCCGTGGGGCGTAGCTCGTCTCCTACCTTGATCCAGATCGGGAGCAGCCGGAGCAGAAGCTCCGCGACAAGGACGGCAAGCCCACGGACATGCCCAACCCTGCATATGACATCGACAAAGCTTGAGACTCTCAGGTGCTGAGCTTCATCTTCAACTCCATCTCAGCTCCCGTCATGGTTCAGGTGGCGCACTGTGACACGGCGGCCGAAGCGTGGGTCGCCATCAGGGAGATCTTCATCTCCCAAACCCAGGCGCACGTCGTCAACACCAGAATCGCCCTCTCCACCACCAAGAAGGGCAAGTCGACAATGTCCGAGTACATCGGACGCGTGAAGGCGCTCGGTGATGAGATGGCATCGGTGGGCAAGCCGCTCACCGACGACGACATGGTGTCCTACATCTTGGCGGGACTCGACTACGACTACGTGTCCTTCGTCTCCACGATCTGCGCTCGTACTCAGCAAATCAAGGTGAGCAAGCTTTACTCGCAGCTGATCAGCTTTGAAAGTAGGCTGGCCATGTTTGAAGGCGGAGGGCAGTCCTCCCACTCCTCTGCCAACACCGTGTCTCGCGGCGGAGGCGGTGGACGTGGTCGCGGTGGCGGCCGCGGCAATGGAGGAGGCCGCAATGATCTGCCTGAAGTCTTCTGCCAAATCTGCACCAAGCCAAATCACACGGCCATGGAGTGCTATCGTCGCTTTGATGTCTCCTTCAACAAGGAGAAAACTGCAGCAGCCGTCAACACCAACTCCTCCTACGGGGTGGACACAAACTGGTATGTGGACTCAGGCACAATAGACCACATTACCAGCGAGCTTGACAAGCTCACCGTTCGTGACAAGTACAATGGACATGATCAAGTGAACGTGTCAAACGGCGCAGGTATGAAGATTTCCCATATAGGTCATGCATATGTTCGTACCCCTACTCGTAATCTTCATCTCAAAAATATTCTGCATGTGCCCAAAGCCCTTGTGTCCACTCCACCCTCTTCAAGGTGGTCTTGCTGCTTGTGTCCACTAAGGATGATCGAGCCCTTGCCTCTGCTTATTCTTCCGAGACCGACACATGGGACGATCTCATCTCAACAGAGGTTCAATATCCAGATTGTTTTGGCTCTTATATTAGTATCCTAGTTGGTAATGTTGTTTATTGGTCATTTAAGTATGTGAAGGAGGGTATACTTGCATTTGATTTGGAAAGGCATAGCCTTGATGCGCTCGAGGGGCCTCCTAGTATGGAGCATTGCTACAGCCATCAGATCATCCATACAGAGGATGGTACAGTTGGTATCGCCATGATGTCTCAACATTACCATAACATTGAAATGTGGCAGAGGATGATCAATTGTCATGGTGTTACCACCTGGGTGCTGTGGAAGACTATTGAAACAGATAACATGATTGGGTTACCTCCTCGGATTGAAGGAGGGATGGTATTGCTGAAATTTATAGTAGGATATGTTGAGGATACTGATGAAATATTTTTATGTGCGAAGGACGGTCTCTATATGGTTCAACTTAACTCGCTGCAATCAAGGAAACTTTCTGAAGCCCGTAATATTAGTTCCTGTCATTATTTCAAGAGTTTCTATGCGTCAGGTAATATAATGTAGGTGTTTCCTAATTTTTTTATGTTTCGTCCGTGGATGCCCGAATACCTATGCTAGACAGCCGATCATAGTCAAACACTATCTAGTATATGTTCTCATTTAATACAGCTAGATAAACAAGCCTCTACTATCGGTCAGGTTTCTTTCCAACATACAGGAGGAAGCAATCGATATGTGTTGCATGTTGCATTCCCAGTTATGGAAACAATCGATGTGTGTTGCATGTTGCATAATATAGTGATAGACATGGAGGAGGTAGAGGAGGAGGAAGTTGCAGGCTTGGAGGAGGAGAATTACATCAAGCGAGTGCGGCAGGTAGCAGATGAGGATGCTGTGAGGGTGAGGGATATACTGTCCCAACACTTGACCGGATCTGGAGATAAATTGGCACAACTCTTGATGTGTTTGTTTGAGCGCTAGCTTTGTCTATTTATTTTATTTTGTAATTACCTTGTATGAATTACTACATCTTTCTTATGCTTGCTTAGTCCATGCAACGGTTGCGGAGGAGAAAAAAGAAGCTGCAGCAGTAGTTTCATCGGGTCCAACAGATGAAAACAAGGAACAAACATTTGACCGAGGAAAGGAGAAGGCGCGTGATAATGGATCCAAAGGCTGAAGTGATGCTGCAGAAAAACTGCACCAAATTGTGTGTCATTGTCATATGTATGTGAGGAAAGCTTTTATGCTGCAGCAAGTGCTCTATGCTTTGTATTACTGGCAGCAAAGCTTTTATGAGGTTGAGAAAACAACCACTCCCTCCGTTTCCTAAATATTTGTCTTTTTAGAGGTTTCAAATGGACTACAACATACGGATGTATATAGACATATTTTAGAGTGTAGATTCACTCATTTTTGCTCCGTATGTAGTCACTTGTTGAAATATCTAGAAAGACAAATATATAGGAACGGAGGGAGTAGTAATAATAATGTAGCTACATGGGGTGCATGTGTAAAAGCTATTTGTGATTTATATTCTTTCAGCTGATTTGTGTCACCTGAAGAATCCGCAAACAGAATGGCAGGGACATGGGTCATGGTTGATTTAGTTGTAGCAGCTGTTGGGATAAGTCATGGCAGCTATTGTGTTGGTTGCCCCTACTCTACTCTGCTCTATGCTATTCTGGTCTGCTTGGAGAAAAGAGGAGAAGAGCAGAGCATAACAGAGTGGGGAGCTGGAGCCAGAAGAAGAAGAAAAAAAAAACTGTCTCTGAGGGCTGAACTGTGTTATATTGATGCCTCAACCACGGCGTCGACCTTGGCCTCGTCAATCTGACTCTCAGGCAAACTAGCGATTTAGTTCAAGTCTCAGGCAAACTCGTTGTTGTTGTTGTTGGCAAAATCAATCAGGGATTTAGTTCAGAAGGGAAGGGATTCAGTTGATTAATCTAACGATTTGTCAATCCTTGCGAGCTGCCACAACTGTTCATTAATTCAGCTAGTTGAAGACTAAGTCGGCTCTGCTCTACAGTCGGTACAACACTAACTATTTTCAGATGATCCACGTTAACTGTGACCAACAAAACACCATCCATGGAGCACAGTGGGAAGGTCAAAGTAGTGCGTGTAGAGTGATTTTGGCACTGCACTCTCTACTCTGCGACTTGCTTCCATCATTTAGCAGAGTTGAACAAATAATAAATAAACTGCACAAGTTCAGCTACGATGGTACATCGCACCATACATACAGAAGATAGCATGCAGCTACAACCAAAGGTGACACTCAGAGGATAACAAAACAACAGTAATAGTAATATAACGATACATGTACTTGTATGCACGTCTTGGCAAAGGAGGTGGAGCCGTTGAGGGCGATGATTGAAGAAACCGATGATCTGATGGGTCGGCCGACGACACCTGCGGTAGCTGAACTACATGATGATGAGCTTGAGAGGCTCATTCCTCCTCGGTGACAGGCAGTGGAGACAAGGTGTGGTCCCTGCAGTCTGAAATAAATGAAGAACGAAAACTTTAAAATGGGCGAAGGAAACTTTTGATTACATATATAAGTTAATTGGAAGGAAGAAAAATGAAACAATAAGTACAAAATGTTATCTCTTTGTGAGAAAACAGGTGAGCTCTTTACCTTTGTGTTTCTATATACGAAAATCTGGAAGAGAACTAAATAAAAACTTTTTCGCGGATATGCTCAATCTTTGGCCAGCTTTCTCCATCAGGAGCTCGGCAGCTCTCCTTCAAGAGTTCACAGTCCCATACTATCATGGTCTTGAGAGAGGGTGGCAAATCTTGGAAAGATGATATATTGGGGCATCCAACAATTTGGAGCGACATCAGACATGAAAAGCCCTTCAGATCTGGAAATGAACTGATTCCACAAAACATAAATGACAGGTGCTTGACAGATGAGAAATCTGCTGATTCTTCAAATGGAAATGATTCCTCATTGCACTCTTCAACTCTGATATGTCTTGGAACTGTAAAACCTTCATCTAAGAGTATGTGGCTGAGCATTATGGGGCTGCTAACCACGAGGTAATTCTGGAGTTGTAACTGTGAGATGCACTTCATATTGAGGTTCGGGAGATTTGCAAATTGTGCGCCGAAAAGTTGCAGCGAGGACAAACCTTCAAGAAAGCACAAATCCTGCAAATCTTGTAGTGATAATGATTCAAGGGCTGTTAAATGACCAACTGTCAAAAATGAAGAGCCTCTGCACCACTTAAATGAAAGATCTTTCAGGTGTGGCAAGTCACTGCTCAAGAAATCAGCTCCAACCACACAGTGTTCTACTTTGAGCCTCTCAATGGATAATGGCAAAAAACCTGATCCACGTGTCAGTTTTAAAGAAGGGCAACCCCATAATGAAATTTCAGAAAGAGCGGTAGCACCTTGTAATCCCCCTACCGATCTAAGACACCAGCATGAGTCGATGCACAAGTACTGAAGCTTTGTCAACTGTTGGAAGACATCTTGTGACGGAAGTGTAGTTAAAGTCATAATCTCTTTCAATGAAAAATGTGTCAGTGAAGTGAGACCATCAAGGCAAACAACTAATGCTCCATCTGTAATGATGCATGAAGAAAGTTCAAGTCGACAAAGCCCTGATGGTGGAACCAGTGGCAGGCCGATGTTCCTTGTACAAATGAGTCTTATCCTCTCCTCATGGCAACACATCCATGCATTGATTATATCCTCTTTTACCAATACTTCATCCCCCTCTCTTTCAAGAGCACTTTCAATAGCTTGAAGATGAGAAGTATCAGCATCCATCAATATCAGGAAGAGCCTCAGAGATGAATATTCTGACAACACGTTACGGCTGATGTTTGATCTGGAATCTGCTTTCCACATGGAAGAAAGCCGTGACTTCGCGCTGCATGTCATCATGGGGTTCTCCCTTTGGTCAAGTTTTTCTAGCTCATCGTTGCAAGTAAACATAAGCAACCTGCATTTCTCAACCACTAACACGTTAAGGTTGGCAGGAAGAGAAGGTAATTTCCTCAGGTTTGGGACATTCTCAAGGCGAAGTGAGGTGCAATTTCCAAAGAGAGTGGCATTGGAAGGTAGGATTTCTAAGGCACTGCAATTAACAAGCTCAAGTGATTCCAAATTCTGAAAATAAGAATCCTCAAGTAACCAGCATGGGTATTTTGTATATCTGTAACCTTTGATAGTAAGGCCCCTAATTTGAGGCGGTGGTACCAGACCTTCTAGAGTTTCCAAATGTGAACTATCATGTGAAGCCATGTCATCATTGTAACTCCATTCAAGGTGCAATCTCTCAAGATGACTTTTCTGATGTAGCTTTGCTTCCACGGCTTGATCCTTCCCAACGACATTCTCAAGATTTTTGATACTTAATCTGCCTCCAAGGTTGTTCATGTCTTTCAGCTGTCGCACCTCATAGCCCATCTTCTTTTGCACACAAAATTCATTGAGGTTTTGGAGCGAAGTTAAATTGCCTATGTGAGGGATTTGGACGCACCATTCAAAACATCTCAACTTACTTAAATTGAACATCTTTTCAGGCAAAATTTGAACGTTGGCATTGAAATAAAGTAATTGCAAGTGGTAAAGAGCACATAATGATCCAGGCAATTCAGATATTGAAGTATGTCTGAGGTCCAAGTACCGAAGGTGCTTCAATTCACCAACAGATTCAGGAAGCTTGCTGCTGTTGTAAAACTTCAGACTAAGTACACGCAACTTCTTCAGATTCTGCAGCACCTGCTGGAAAATATCTCTTGCATCATTTGTAAGTGGTTCAATGCAGATAAAAGTACGTAAATGTTGTAGCTTGCTTATAGAGTGTTGATGTTGCTTCAAACTCTCAACACAAACAGATAGATGTTGAACAGTGCATGGTATTGTTGCCACCTTATCATCTTCTAATCTGAAGCAGACTTCTTCAGATAGTGACTACATCACTTCAGATAGTGCCAAATCATGCACGAGATCATGCATAACACAGTAGTTTGCAACTACATCACTTCTGTAAACTTGTTGAAAGAATGAAACTGAGAGCATCTCATCCAAGCAATCCCTCCCAGTTGCTTCCATTCTCTTGTTCATACTGCATGAATCAATAAGTCCCTCTGCTACCCACATGTGAACCAACTCCTTAGTGATATATCTGTGGCCTTTTGGATATAAACTGCAATATAGGAAACACCTCTGCAGACGTGGATCTAACTTCTCATAACTCCACAGAAGTGCTCTACTAGGATCGCTTAAGTTGTCAATCCTTAGAGCATCTTCCCATGCAGCCTTATCCTTTTTTCTGCTCAACTGCGAACCCACTATTTTTGCTGCTAGAGGAGATCTTCCAAGTCTTTTCACAAGCTTCTCTGCAATATTTTCTAGCTGCCCACGCAACCTCTGATCTCCAATTGTTGCACCAGAAAAGGCATTGTCCTTAAAAAGTGCTAAGATATCGGTATCTTCCATGTCTTTCAAATGAATAATTTCATTACAACCAAGAGGAACAGGGAGTATATCCGACCGAGAAGTTACCAAAACTTTGCTTCCCATTTGTTGAGACACTAGGGGAGACAATAGTTGCTCCCACTCCATCTCGTTGGTGTTTTCTTCAAACCAGACATCGTCCAACACAAGAAGGTATCTGTTTGAATTTTGCAGCATGTCCCTCAATTTGCATTGTAGAGTATCAAGGTTATCAAGACGTGGGCACTCTCCCTTTCCCGCTGATTCAATAATTGCCCGCGTGTGGCGGTCAACATCAAGTTTGCGTGAAGTGCAAACCCACATCATGACATCAAAATGGTCTTTAACCCTCTCGTCATTGTAGACATGCTGCGCCAAGGTGGATTTTCCCATGCCTCCTAATCCAACAATTGCTACACAAGAATTCTTAGTTGAATCAGACCCACCAGCAGTCGGCTTGGTAAGAAGATCTATAATATCATCGCGATCCTTGTCACGACCAATCACTTTTGGAGGTGCTATTGATGTGACAACTGGAATAATAGCTGCCGGCACTGCAAAGGCCTCAACACTATTACGAGTAGGTAAGCAAAGCAGTTTGCTAATGCCCTTGGCTTTCGCAAGGATGGCCTTCAGTTCCTTCAATTGGTCGAGTAGCTTTTTGTTCTTTGGTTGCAGATTGGACAGCCTGCTCGACACAGTATGCACATGCTTCATAATAGTACCACTAGAAGATGCATGTTCTATCAAAGAATCCTTCCCCTTCTCTGCTTCGCGCTTGAGGATGTTGTACTCATGCTCATCTAGCAGGTCCTCAGCTTTACAGAAGGCGTCTTTCAGCTGCTGGATCCAGTTGTTCAACATTGGCCTGTGAGGACTCTTGTTAGCTGCTTCAACCAGTAGAGCGAACTGTGGCATGATGTTCATCTCCAGTTCATGGAGCTCACTCACCATGTCCACACCAAGACACCTTGTAGGATCAGCTAGGAGCCTCTTCACGACCGGTGATACCACCAACTGTAAGCCAGCCCGTATTCCCGCCATAGCCAACGCCACTTCCGCCATGGAAAGGACACCGAGGGGGTGAGTTGTGGATGTACCTCTTTCTTTTGGTTTCAAGACAGGGTGGAAGAATTGGCAATGTTTATTTTTTTTGAGGAATGAAAATAGGGAGTATAACAGAGTAAAGATGGGAAATAGGTAAAATTATGGTAAAGGCAGATTTTTTGAGGGTATGCTTGTGTACTCACAGAATATTGTATTTGGGTGGTGGTTGAGGGAGGGGATCGCTAGGATGAAAAATGATGTGAAGAAGTGTATATGAAGTTCTGACCCCGCAAAAAAAAAGAGAAGTTCTGAAATTCTGGAGGAGAAATCGAGACGAAATGGATGAAAAGCTGCAGGAGAGAAAAACCAGGGAGATAAATCAGTGATCTGCAACAACACAGAGCAGATAGTAAACAGAGCATTCTAAAAAAAAAAATTGAACAGAGCCGCTACAAGCTGATTCTTCTTCCTTAGAACTAACAGGTACTCGCTGCCTATGGTTACTAATTAAATGATTAAATTTTGTACAACAAGTGACCTAAGCTATGGGCCTGTGGCAATATGCGGGCTCCTCCCATTGATGGAGCTATCCAAGGGTGAGAATACTGACCTAACCAGACTGTGGCTACAGCAGAGGACAAGTCGCGCCTCCTCGTCGCGGCCCAAGCAGATCTCAGAGAGGGGGCTCCTGAGAAGACGGGGAGAGAGGAGCTCGATCGACTCAAAGAGATGAGACGAGCGGTCGACGGTGGAGGACAAGGGACTGAGTTTGAGTGCAAGATATCTGCTTGCTAGTGGGTAGAAGGAAGTAGTATAGACGCTCCCTCCTTGACAGGAATGAACGAAAAAGAAAAGAAACTAGAAGAAAATACGTAGTAACTCCTTGCCCACGAACCGAATATTTGGGTTCACGGATCGGCTGTTTTCCCACGAATTTTCCTCCAGCACTAAAAGGATCACATGGACCTCGATTCTTCACACATAAGAGAAGATGTAGACACGTTAGAAAAAGGAAGCAGCCAAGTGAGAATAATCAAAGGCTACGCGTGCCTTCTATCTTCGCATCCACATCCGACCGAACTCACAATCTTCCTCAAATATCATCGGTTCGGTTCCCATCTGGCCATCTAGGTCTGGAATATTATTAATTAACCTTCCATCAAAAGGCCACGTCATTTATAACCCAGGAATATCTTTTAAAGATTTCACTATAGACTACATACGGAGCAAAATAAGTGAATCTACACTCTGAAATATGACTATATACATCCGTATGTAGTCCATAGTGAAATCTTTAAAAGGACTTATATTTAGGAATAGAGGGAGTACAATTGTCTCTCAACCACATAATCAAGAAAGGAGATTATTCTTTTTAGTCGAAGAAATAAGATCAGCTGGACGTACTTGATGTATTTTCCCGTTATGTTAAAGTGAAGGAAAGGTGAAGAGCAGTTCGGAAAGAGCGAAAAAAAAGATCAGCAGAGATATTCAGGTATAGAACAGAATACATGGAACATGTTTGGTAGAAACTGTGCTTGGTGTGAAAGCAGGATTAAGATGTACAGCTATAGGAAATGGACAGGTTCGTCTAGTACAGCTATTCTTATGCGTTTCCCGCAAAAAAAAAAACGATTCTTATGCGTTGTGTGGCTGTCGCCTCGTGGCAATCTTTTGTGCTTCAAGAGAACGAGCAATAATAGGGTAGCTGCATGGGACGGGCTATTTTGTGATTTCTATCCTAATTCAGTTGCGTGTTGTAACCTCAAGGAAGGATCTGCAAGCATACGTAATGGCTGTGAGTTCTGCAGGTTTATCACACTTCATTTGTTGCTGATGTCAATGTTAAGCGTGTTCTGTACATGTATTCGTAACGCGTTTGCTGCGCAATTTAGAGCACAACAAAGATGACAGTACAGAGTTGTGAGAGTTGGGCAACAGACTGATTTGACATTCACCTGGATGGATGCAGGGAAGAAAGTCCAGAGAGTTCAGGTTTTGTGCCTTGCCACTAACCAACTGACCGTTCTGAGAGTTGATCAACTCACTGATTTTACATTCTCCTTTCTTCCCCAAACGTGCAGTAGGCGCTTGAGAGATAAGATTAATTCACGTGACCATAAAAAATGTTTTCTACGCAGTATGTTCCAGTTTTGGAGGAGAAAGATAAGCAAGTACATTTACTAACATTTTTTGTCTGGAAGTAATAACATTTCATTTTGACGTGTACTTTCTTTTTTTTCGAAAAGGAGGATCACACCCGGCCTCTGCATCTGGGAGATGCATACGGCCATTTTATTGATTGTTCTCGAGGACCTTACAAAGTATAACAACAATATGTCTGTATCCGCCATCTTGGTAGCATCTGCCGCTACTCCTATCCAAATGATGAAGGGGTGCAAGCTCGGCCACATATCCATACCTCTCACCTAAGCCTAACATCTAAAGCCGGAGGCCCCGACCGAGCCATCTGCCGGGTCCGGGGCTCAAACCGGTCTGACACACTCACATGTGTCGTCGCCGCCATCTTTCACTGGTCCATCTTCAGAGCAGATTGAGGTGACAACCTTGGCAGGTCCTCCGCCATCGACGCCACTACGACACCAAACGACAACCTTCACCTACGCGAGCCTTGGCAGGTCCTCCGTCATTGACACCACCACGACGCCAACCGACGACCTCCACCTACGCGAGTCCATCTCCAAGCAACGGATGTAAATCCATGCTAGGAAAGGGCCGCACCACCGCCGTCACCCACCACCCACAAGCGCCACCCAACCCCAAGGTTCCCAAAGCGGCGCCTTCAAGAAGGGAACGGCGCTGTGAGCACCGTCGTCGCCCAACAGAGTTAGGGCTTTCACCAGGGAGACCTAGGGGAAGGTGAAGTGAGGAGATCAGTCCATACCAACGGCTCCAAGGAAGGAAATGGCACCGTGAGCACCGTCGTCGCCCAATAGAGTTAGGGCTTTCACTCAGGAGACCTAGGGAAGGTGAAGTGAGGAGATCAGTCCATACGACGGCTCCAAGGAAGG